AGTTGACAGATGGACCGACGGGTCACTGACGGTGTCCGAGTCCCTCGCTCCTTGTGACTGTCTCCAGGCGACGGGGGACTCACACTCTTCCCTGCTGGACCCCACCTGCCTCCTTACCCTCTGGTGCTCCCGGTGCCTGTTGGCCCTGTTCCTGCTCGAGTGGACTTACTGTTGTTTCTTATATGTAAAGGTATCGATCAAGGTTCTCCAGAGAAACAGAACCGACCCCATGTGTGTATATCGTGTTGGTCCCCCCGCCCCAGTTTATTTTAAGAATTAGCTCATGAGGTTGTGGGCGAATCTGGAAACCACAGGGCAGGTTGGCCGACGGGAAGCTCAGGAGGGCGTCTCTGTTGCAGCCTGGAGGGTGAATTCCTTTTCCAAGAAACCTCAGTCTTTGTGCTGAAGGCCTTCAACTGATCGGACAGGGCCACCCGCATTAGGGAGGGTGACCTGCTTTACTCAAAGTCTGATTTCAGTGATAATCTCATCTGAAAAATACCTTCGCAGGGACATCCAAACGGGTGTTTGACCAAACAGCTGGGCATCACACATGGATAACCAACGTGATATGCACACAAGATGCTGTTGAAATTGCCTGCTCTCTGTAAGTACGAGAGGGCTGTCTGAATCGTTCCAACAGCTTTGATGTCACCTGTGATGAAGGTGTGGGGTGGCTGCTGGCTCGGCTAGCAGCTGTCACCCTAAGTGGTCCTGCTGTTCTGAAGGTGGGGAGCAATCAGAAGGTACAAGGGCAGGTGCTTGGGGTATCCTGGGGCAGCCCTGACCGCTGTGCAAGACCAAGGCCATCCAGTCCAGGCAGGATGTTCTGGGCAAGGCTGACATGGTGACAAGGGCCCAAGGCCACCAGGACCATGTGAGACACCCTTGCCCCCCCGCCCCCAGGCCATGCTGGGCCTGTGCCCGGGCTGCTCCCCAAACACGCCCGACAGGGCTTTCTTCCTGGTGGTCCTCATTCTGGCCTCCTCTCCCGGGCGAGGAGCACCTGGTCATTGCCACGGCCCTGGGCACTGTCCCTGAAGCCAGCCTAGGGTGGGGGCTTCCCAGCTGATGCTGCTGGCACAGGAGAACTGGTTCCACCTCACCACATGCCCCCAGAGTCTTCAGGTGCCACCTTCCTCTGCCTCCATGGAAATGTGCACCTGGAGCCCCAGGCCTGGGCTGCATCACATGAGATGGGGAGGCACAGGACATCCAGTGACCCCTTGTCCTCACCCTCCAAGCCAGAGAAAGGCGGAACTGATGTTTGAGAAGCGATGCAGGGGTACCGGGCCCCCCGCCTGCCCTGCAGCCTCTCCCTGCCTGGCAGAAGTTAGGTGACGGGAGCCCAGGCTTCCTTGTCACTGGCATTTCAACAGCACCTGGGAGGCCTCTGCCTGAAGCGCAGACTCTACTGGCTGTTTAAAGAGTGCAGAAAAGCAGGAAACCCTAAAGAAGAAAAATGTGATCACCGGCTTAGACCTAACCGGGCCCGAGTCCTCTGGGTCTGCCTCGCACTGCTGCGGAGCGGCACACAGCGTGCCGGGCAGGTCCCCTCTTTCCACCCCATCACCTGGCTTTGCACCTGTTTGTGTGAACGTGGGCACACCCTAGCTGCTCTATGAAGAGTGCTGTCAGGAACTTTAGCTCCATCCTGTTGAATTCAACGTTGGCATCTGAATTTGACTCGGTGATTTAAAAAACAAAAAATTTTTGCACGTGTCTTGTGTTTGGAAATGTCCTCTTCCAAGGACAAGTGGACGTGGTGCTGCGCCAGCCACCAGAGGGGGCGGATGCATGGCAAAAGGACCGAGGGCCTGGGCCTTTGGAGTGGAGGGAAAGTGGGTGCCCCGTGGGGAGGGCAGCCTCATAGGGAGGGACCCTGCGGGCAGAAGGCGCCCCTGCACCCTGGGAGGGCAGCCCAGAGGGAGCTGCAGGGGAAGGGACAGCGGGCATTTGGTTCCCCCTCGGGGATAAAGAGTCACCCGGCTCTGCGTCTGGATACCCCTTTATGGCCAGGGAGACCAGAGAGCTCCTGATCATGTCCTGGGGGTCCGTCATTTGTGTTTTGTGTGCAGGACGGAGCAGCCCCATCTCAGAAACTGCCCACCTCCCAGATGCACGGGTGTGCCCAGTGTATGCTTGCGGCTGGCCCCTTTCCACCCACCCCACCTGCCCCCAGGCACTGCTGCTCAGCATGCGGCCACCCTCGGCATTGCTGGCCCCTGAGTGCAGAATTGGAGGCTCTGGTGCTTTGGCAGGACAAGCCTGACTGGTCACAGAGCCAGTGGCTTTGGACTGAGCATTGGAAAAGGACCAGACACTTAAGGATTCTGGGCCCGTCCACTCTCCCAGGCCCCCGAGAGGAAACCAGAGTGTGCTGCCCTGGGCCTGCAGCGCCCTCTGACTCCCCCTGTCAGTGACTGGCTCTCCGTCTCCGTCTCTCTCCTGTGAACGGGAGGGAAAGGCCCCCGATGGCCAAGGCACCTGGGGAGGGTGTGGCATCACCTGATGGTTGGGGACTGGGGCACTCGGGAGCCACGGGCAGCCCAGGCTGGCAGAGGCGGTGGTTGCAGGGCCTCGAGTCCATGCCTCTCCTGCCCAGTGAGGTGCCTGGGGCCGAGTGGATCCTAGAGCTGGCGGGCTTCCCAGGGAGACAACTGGCTGGCGCTCCGTCTGTTTGGCCGGATCTTAGCTCTGCGGCGGGCTCAGGGACTGGCCGCAGAAAGGAGGCCGCCCAGGGCAGCAGCTCCAAGTGAGCTTGCTGACCTTCTTTACGCCCAAGCTGGGGCCTGCACTGGCAGCCTGGGGGCCGGAGGGGTTGGGCAGTGACTGCTGGGGACACATCCCTGGGACAGTGTCAGGGAGGTGTCGTTTTGCGGGTGCTTCTCTGAGGGCTAGAGCTGCAGGTGCCCCTCAGTCCTTCTCATGGTGGCCCAGTGACCACGGAGGGTGGCCCCATGCAGGAGGCCTGCCCTGAGGTGGACTTGGGCTGGACTCTGTTATTCGGGTTTCCGTGCACATTGAAGAGTGCACGGTAGGGCATTCTCTGTCCCTTGAACAGTGGAGGCACAGCTGTGCCAGCAAAGGCCAGGCCATCTGGGGCAGGCCTAGAAGACATGTGGTGCCTCCTTTTGGGGTGCAGTGGCCGGTGCTCGTTGGGGAGCTCGGGGCCTCCTCCAGTTGGGATGCTGAGGGGCAGGGCTTCGGTCTGGGGTGCTTGCCTGTCCTCAGGTCCCAGGAGATGGGAAGGACCCGGCTTCCTTGCCTTTAGTGGTGGGGAGAGACTCCTGCATCCCACAGAAACCACACTCACTGGGCTCCCCCAGAGACACCACGGGGCCCATAGGGAGGATGGTTGGTTCCTGCGAAACCAAATGAAACACTAATGTTCTCTCCACATGCCCAGGGGCCCTTAATGACACTCAGCAGCCTTTATAACAAAACCCAGTGTCAAAGAGAGAAACTGCTTACACAAACGCCACCATTTTTCAAGAGCCAATGGGGAACATAGCTCTAAAATATAAAGTCCCGAACTGTCATCACCAAAACGAGGACTAAGTCAGAGAGTCCCCTGTCACCAGCGTGATTCACGGTGGTGCTGGCGGTGAGGCCGACACAGTGAACCCTCCTGGCCTAGGCTGGGCATGACGCCGTCTCTGCTGAGCGTGGAGAGCATGTGGCATGGCGGAAAGGGCACATCCACGACAAATGGCCTGCAAGAGAGACTCGAACTCCCTGCAATTATTTGGGGTGCCTGGGGTTGCCCCGGTCTGAGGGGTTTCCCAGGATGGGGAGTTTCAGAGCAAAATCCGGAGAAGTCCTGGGCCAGCTTGGTTGCCCTCTGGCCCATGACCCATGGGGCGCGGGCCATGGCCATGCCTGCTTCCTCACCCGCCCAGATGAATGACCTCACGTGTGGCCCCCCACTGTGTCTGTATGGCTGCTGCCTTGTTCACGTGCACTGACCACTAATATTTCCTCTTGCATGAGAATTTCCCATGTGAGTTATTTGCCCCATATTCTACTACTCTTTTTCTTCCCTTCTTTTTAGATTGGAATTGCAAATATCCCTTGGGTCCTCAGGCCCACTTGGACCTGAGTCTTAACTGAGACACATCAGCCTAAAGGTTTTCACAGACATGGCTGTCCCTGGCCGCACTGCGTGTCATGGAAACAGCAAAACAACACAAAGTGAATGATCTGGAAATAATGTGATTTTCCACCAGCAGGCTGATTTTCCATCAGCAGGCTGAGACAACTAAACTATGGACGGATGAGGTACATCTCCATGTGTGACCTTAAGATATGCCTGTTTTAGAAATAAAATAGATATCTGGAAATGTGTGCCCATTAGCACAGAATGCTGGGTAGAATTTTTGCCAAAAGTGCTACTATTGATAGTGCGATTGGAACTAGAAGGGTCTGGGGAACGTTTTCACTTTTAACTGATTTGCTATATTGTTTGCCAACAATTGGACACCCCTTTTATCATTAAAACAAGGAACAAATTAGAGAAAATTTGTCAGGACATAGAGCAACATGCATATTGTCACCCTGTTTAAGCAAACACGATTGACAGAGGAGTTAGAGAAAAGATTTCCAACAATAACTTTTTAAAAAAGAAAGTAAAAGAATTGACTCAACTGAGAATTGACTCGGCTGAGATAAAGGCATAAGTGAAAGAAACAGAAAGGAAAGAAGAAACCGGAAAATTTAACAAAACGGAAACCCGGTGTTCGCTCGTTGACAAGATCTTGGCAAGTGGGATGGAGGAGGAAGGAACCCCGCGTGCAGGGTGGACGCCTGTGCATGCCCGGCCTGAGAGGCAGTCCTGTTCCACCCGGATGGAGGAGTGGTAGCCCGGGCAAGGTGGACACACAGACCCCAGACTCACAGCTCCCCCTGACGTTACCAGGGACACGAGAGGCCCAACTATGGAATGGCCAGAAAGAAGTGAAATGAAAGAGGGTTGCAGCCACAGGTCCTATGCGGTGACATTGATTTAGATGACTTTATTTAATAATAAAATGCGTGAAAGAATGGAAAGGCCCACCAGAAGGCTGTCCTGGAGAAGGGACACCATGCAGGCAGGGCCCCTCTGCCCAGCCCCGTGTGCAGCATTCGCAGGCCCTGGGAGAAGAGCCGCATTGCACTGGTCGGTGCCAGACTCCGCGGAGGCTTTTTCACTCTTGGTACAGCGGGAAGCCACTGACTGAGGCTCTGAAGAGGGAGCGGTGGGGATGGTCGTGTGCTTTGGGACCGCTGTCACCGCGCCGTGGTCAAGGGTAGTCAGAGGAGGGAAGAAGGGAGAATGGCTAAGTTAGCAGAAAAAGCTGTGGGCACGTGACGAATGGTGGGAGCCGGGGCAGAGGGAGGGGCTGTTGGCCACAGTGCAGGGCACAGCGAACGGGAAGCCCACCTCAGAGAGGAGCCAGGGTGGGCGGGGAGCGCCAGATGCGTGCAAGTCCTGCACGACTCTACGGCCTCGCCCTGGGGGCCCGGCTGTGGGCTGCAGGTGGAATCTGGAATTTCTTGCACACAGACGTCCAATCAGAGAGAGAAAGGGGGGAGAGGAGGAGGGGGTGGGAGAAGAGAGGAGGCCATCAGGTCAGTGCCTAAGGGACAAGAGGAGCAGCTGAAGCAGGACCAGCCGAGGGCGTGGAGGGGCCCGTGGGGCAGAGGGAAGCAGGGCGGGCGGCCCATGACGAAGAGGGGGGGTTGCTGTGGCCTTGGGCTCCGCGGTTGGGAGGACGCTGAGGGCCAAGCTGGTGCTGGGTGGGAGGTGGCCGCTACTCAGAAGCCCATGCGCTGGCCAGTCACGTCTCCTGCTAGTGTTTCCAGGCGGCTGCTGCTTCCCCCAAACAGACTTGCTCCACCTGGGCTCCATCCACCCCTTGTTGGAGGCACAGGGCCGCAGCTCCTGGCAGGGCAGGCAGCTCTGACATCCACCAGTGCCCCCGTGCCCGCAGTGCCCAGTGGGAGGGTGGGGGGACAAGGACAGGGAGCCAGATGACACCAGCGCAGCTGCTTGTTGTGGCAAGTAGCAGACATTGAAGCAAATGGCAAACGTTACAGGGGGGGATGGACCCTGTGGCGACCCCCAGTGAGTGGTGTGCAGGGAGCAGGCAGAGCACGGGGCAGGGATGAGGAAGGGACGGGGAAGGGAGGAGGCAGGCAGGGCGCAGAGCAGAGGGCTGAGCAAGAGGGCCCCAGAGTGGGCAGCTGCCTGTGGTGCACTGTGGATGCCTTCACCACTCACCAGCCTGTGTGGCCAGCCACAGGAGGGCTGCACGGGGGCGGCTGGGCCTTGCAGCCACAGCGCACAGCTCGGCCGTGCACATCCGCGCGGGCTGCCTCTCCCCACACAGCAGGGCTGCAGGACCAGAGCACAGAGACACAGAGTGGGAGGCGCCCAGTCCTGGACGCCCCAGCCGCGCCCTTGGCAGAATGCCCCAGGACCGCCAGGACCTGCCACCCACTCAGGCTGCTCTGGGGTGGGGGTGGGGGCAGGGCTGGCACACAGGGACTGGCAGGCCTCCACCTGGGCCCCGGCCATCTGCTCCCACGGAGTCCACGCTCCCACACGCTCACCAGCCTGAGGATCACTTTCCTTCTTGAGGCCTTCTTGGGGTCGGAGCCACGGGCTCTGCGCACCAGCAGCCTTAGCGTTCCCCAGGGCCTCCCTAAAGGCCGTTCCTCCCTTGTTCCAGGACAGCCAGTCCTGGGGGCTGAAATGAGCAGCCCTGTGGACAAACCTCCTTTCTGTGACAATGAAGAGGTTTCAGCAGGGGCTGAAGGGGGTCACTGCATAACTGAGATCCTGCACGAACGTGGGAGCCTCCTCTCCCCGCCAGCTGCAGGGATTCACAAGGGCGTATGGCCCCTCACCCCCGCTTCCCATTGGAAAAGCCGCTACCTTCTGCCTGCCACTTCTAACTGAAGCACTGCCCCTGCTCCCCTGGGCCTGCGTCCCTTTGTCAATGAGAAACACAAACACAGGTATTTTTAAATAAGCCAAATTAAATTAATACCAAACAAGTTCAGGTGTGGTGAACACCTGTGACTGTCCTGTCAAAGTTTGTTAACCATGAACATCTAGCGAACTCAAAACCTAACAGAACACCAAAACCCAAAGAAAAGGTTAACACCGGGTCTGAAAACTGTTCATCTACTTAGTTACAAAGAAAGAAACGCAGGGGAAGGAGGACAGGGCACCCGCTCTCCACCAAAGCGGTGGCCGCAGAAGGTGATGTCAGAGCGGAAGCCGGCGTGGACAGGGCGGCTGAGCAGAGCTGCCCAGGGGAGGTGGGAGCCCCTCTGGAGGCAGCCTGGCCTCCAAATTCTCCCCGAGCTTCGAGTGGCGATCTCTCCGCTGACATCATCCCCGCGGAGGCATCGACAAGGTGGTCGTAGAGGTGGTGCTGGTCAAGGACCTCCAGCACTGCACTAGGAAAGGCACGGCCTCGCCTGGGACATTATTAGGCCATTAACATCCTGGATGTGAGGAAGATGAATGTCGTGGGAAATGCACGGAAATACTGGACTATTAACATGACCACACGATTTGCAAGCAGGAGTCAGGGTGTGCGTGGAGTCCGTGGATGGCTGACCAAAAAGCGCCAGGCATGGTGCATCTCCCGGTGAGACGACAGCCACTTTCATTCATGTCTCCTGCTTTTCTACAATAAAAAAGTCTAATTCTAAGTTTCTCAAGACATAGGAATGATTTTTGAGGGGGGTGTGTGTGAGGAATACCCCAGCAGCAATGGCTTAAACAGGATGGAATTAATTCTCGATCACACTTGTGCAGGCACGTCAGGATGCAGGGTCCCCTGAGGCTGGTGTGCAGAGGCCCCAGCGCAGAGCCAGGGATCCAGGCTCCTGCTGTCTTCCCACCACGCAGTCCTAGCAGCAAGTCTGTCCTAGGAGGCAGAAGCCAGCGGCTGCCAGGGCACTGCCATCTCAGCAGCATCGTACAAGCAGGAAGGAGCGCAGGGGGACGGCCACAGCGTGCTCCGACCAGCCATGTGTGCCCCCCTGAGAGTGAGATGCAGCGCTTCCAGAGGCCCTGGGATACTCGCACCCCCAGGGGTGGACCCAAAGAGTGAGCAGACGCTGAGCACCCACCTTCATGGTGGCGGTGCTCACAACAGCCCAAAGGCCCAACCTCCTCAACAGGTGACGGGTAAACCAAGTCCATCCACTCGGGGACTGTCCCTCAGCCTTGAAGGAGAGAACCATGGCCCCACTGCAGCGTGGAGGACCTGAGGTCGCTGTGCTTGGGGAAATGGGCCGATGCAGAGGGACAGACGCTATGTGACCCCCTCCCAGGAGGGCATGGAGCCACCAGATCCATGGGCACAGGGAGTGGGTGGGGCGCCTGAGCGGGGGAGGGGCGGGGGAGGGTGTTTAGGGGCACAGGGCTCCAGTCTGGGGAGATGGGGAGCTCCGGAGGCGGTGGGATGGCTGCAGACAGCGTGAAGGTGCCTAATCCTGCCGAGGGTGCCCTGAGATGTGGCAAAGATGGCGAGTTTTATGTTGTATGTATTTTGCCACCATGACAAGCAGGGGAAAGGAAAAGAGGAGGGAAAGGGTGGCCACCAGGCCGTTTGTCCCGAGTATCCCCAGGGAAGGGGCCAGCAGAGGTCTGGGTCCAGTGGGCCGAGGGGCAGGGAGGTGGGTGGGTACGGCGCTGGCTCTGTCTCTGGGTGGAATGAGGGGGTTGGGAGCCAGGGTGCAGCCGAGAAGCTGCCCCACCTGGATGGTCCTGGGGCGAAGGCATCGACCCCCTAGGGATCCGGGTCAGGCCAGGCAGGGTGCAGGGAGTGGTGTGCCCTGGCTGGCACCCAAGAGGGGCTGAGTGCCAGGCAGTGGGGGGCCTCCTCTTAAGCAGGAGGTCCCCAGGGTGTGGCCATACAGCCCCCGGACGGAGCCCCAGGGACTGGTGCAGGGCAAGATGGCCTCGGGGGCCTCCGGGAGCCTGCAGGGACTGGGGGTGGGGGAAGGGACTCGGAGGCCACAGCAGGGCCCAGCCTGGAGCAGCCCCCGCAGCCAAACATCCCAGCGGGTGGAGTGCCTGTAGGTCAGGGGACAGGTGGGAGGGGAGGGGCCAGGAGCTCCTCAGCTTTGCCACTCCAGGACCCCAGCCGTGAGCCCACCCAGAGGCTCCTGTGCTGTCGGCGCCCCCGCTGGGCCCTGGGCTCACTTCGTGGGCTGGACCTCGGTCCCCGGGCACCTGGCTCCTCACTGTCCGTCCGGCTCAGCCACAGACCCCGTGCCCCTCTCGGCCTCTGCGTCCACGACACTCCACGGGGCGCCAGCTCCCGTCCTCTGGGCCGGCAGCGGCTTGGGCTGGGCGGCCCGCTGCCCTCCACCCGAGGCCGTTCGCTCCCCACCCAGGGCCCCCAGCCCGTCCGCACTGCCAGCCCCGACGCGGGCTGACCACGCGGGGGGCCGGGCCCTGAGCCGGGCTGAGGCCGCGTGCCCCGCGTGATGGCGCGGACGGTCCCGCGGGGGCCCGGGCAGACCTGCGGAGCGTTACCGGGGAACGAAGGCGAAGGAGGCGCGCGGGCGGCCGCGGTGTCCGTCCTGTAAGCAGTCGGCCTCTGGACGCAAACCAGGCTCCGGCCGGGACGTCAGGGAAACATCTGCGTCGGGGCCCCGCGCCCCCCTCGGGCCCTGGGACACGTCAGAGGGACCGCGAGCCGTCTCGTAATTGGGCAAATTGGTCTCACATTCCTCCACTAAATCCCCAGATCCCTGCAATTTTAGGTCTCCTCAGAAATGAAAACATTTGGCGACTGCGTGACCCAGGAAAGAAGCGGGGGCCGCTCTCGGCTGGAAAGCACCGATTGGGGGCAGCTGTGGGGTGCGGCCGCCTTGGGCCGAGAGGAACCTGCCGGGGAGGGCCGGGCGCCTGGGGCACGGGGCTGCTTCCCGGGGCCGCCTGCGAGGGCACGTGGCCGGGGCCCGGCTCCCACGACTCGCGGGTCTGGCTGCGGGCGGCGGGGTGGGCCCCGTGGCTCTGACCCCAGGATCTGGGGCTGGGGCCCAGCTGCGGGCAGCACCAAGGACCGTGGCCTGGCAGCAAGGGTCCTGGTGGAGAGCTGGGTGTCCGGGGCCGCTGGCTGCTCCCCTGGCTCCCACGCCTGCCCGTCTCAGGGGGCGGGGCCTCTGTGTACGGGCAGAAGCTCCCTTGCGCATGCCCTCCTCTGCATCTGTCCTGTCCTGTCGGGCCTCAGTCCCCGGGCTGTGACAGCTGCAGGGGTTGGGTGCTCACAGCAGGTGCCTCGCTGTGCACGCCCCTGGGTCCTCTCAGCCAGTGGCTCACCCTCGTCCTGGTGGCCCACCTGGAGGGACGTGTCGCTCTGTCTGGTGACCCAGGGCTGGGGTTGAGGCTACATCCGCTCATCCCCTGCTTCTGCAAAGCCCACAGGCTGAGAGCCATTTTCATATTTCAAAGTAATTGCCTAAAAATCAAAAGATTTTTTGGCACATGAAATCACATGGAGTTCCAATTCCAGCACCCCTAAGTCATGCTCTGGGGAGCAGAGCCCCCCGTCCACTGAGGGATGGTCTGGCCTCGTTCTCGCAGCGGTGGCGGGGCTGAGAGGCCGCCACAGTGGTTGTGGGGCAAAGCCTGAAATGCTTGTTACTTGACCCCCTGGAGACGGCTTGCCTCACCCTGGCCTAGGTCCTTACGCAGAAGGTTCCTCAGGCCCAGAGTAGAATTGTCGTCCATCTTGGACCTCTTTCTCTATAACACTGCTGCCTGTCTCAAGATCTGGGGTTTCCAGAAATTCTAGCCAACGGCCAAACGTGTTCCTAGAACATGAACCTGCCATGGGCTTCAGGTGGGGACACCAAGGTGACTGACATGTGGTCTCTGCTTCAAGGGTGTCCTGAAAATCCATTAAGACACAAAGGTAAGGTCCTGTGGTACCAAGGCTGGGAGCCTGCCCCTGGGCTCCGGCCCCTAGAGGGGCACCCGAGCACGTTCCTCGGCCTCTCTGCGCACCGCGTCCCATCTTCCAAGGGAACATGGTATAACCCAGTGGGCATGTGTCCTATGCCTGCTGCCTTTTGAGAACGTAATTGCAGGTTTTGTGCACTCACCAAGCCCACGCGGAAATGCACGCAGAGGTCTGTACATGCAAACGAGCCTGCAGTGCGGCCAGTGGCGGGGGTTTTGTAAGAAAGTGCAGCTGGCTCGGGAGTGGGGGTGCTGTGGTCACCGTGAAGGAAGAGAAGGAACCCCACCCAAAATTTGGTTCTGGTATCAAGACTGGTGATGAGGCACATATACCAAGAAGTTTGAAGAGGCCTGTCACTTACATAATGAGGCTTTCAGCACGGCTCCAGGTAAGGGCTTTTGGTAAAGGATGGGGTTGCCCTGCATGGCAGTAGGTCCCAGGTTTAAACTTCCCACTAGCACCAAAAGAGGGGCACCACACCCCTTACTCTTACCTGTGTGTCCAGACATGGGCACGGGTGGAGGGGAGGGAAGCTTAAAGCCGTCAGCAGCCAAACATCCCAGAGATGCCGTCACACTCTTAACTGTTGGGAGCATTTAGCTTACGTCTTCTAGGGCAGCAGGAGAACATGGGGAGAGGCTGCAGAGTTAGAGGGGCTTTGAGCTGGGCTTTGCAATGCACAGGGAGTTGGCCTGACCAGGCATGGGGTCGTGGCCCTGCAGAACACAGCAGAGATTCCATGTTGCCCCTAGGAGGATGACTTCCCAGGGCTCTCCAGTCTAAAACAGAAATTTCCATAGTTTGGTGGCAGAATAGTAATTTTTAAGAAGACAGATAGCCTGACTGCTTTCACTGATAAGGCAGCAGCCCATTGCTCCAAGCAGGGATTGTTAACTGGCAGGGGATTTGGGCCCAGCTGCCTCTGGTCCCTGGGGCTTTGTGATGGATGCTCAAGCACTCGACAGGGGTGTCTGCTGCTTTGTACTGGGCCCACCCTCAGCAGACCCTTGACACATCCTGCTTGGGAGATGCTCACATCAACCTTCATCTGTTAGTCTGGGAGACGAGGATAAACAGCCATCATTCACCTGCCCCCATGGTCGGGCATCTTCAGGACAGCCTATGAGGCCCATGCCAGCATGCCCTTCCCTCCTGTTTGAGGAGACGGGAGCTCAGAGAAATAAGTAGCTAGGCCAAGGTCACACATGCTGAGGTGAGAGCCAGGGCCTGGCTCCCCGAGGAGCTCTGACTGCATCAGACTCTGTATGAACATCAGTACGAAACTGGGTGATGCAACGTCCCTTTAGAGCCAAAATCATTTCCTTCTGGCGGCAGAAGCACAGCCGGCCTGTGACTCAGTCTGATCTCGCGTCTACCCTTGCCCGGGGGCAGACTTTCCCTGGTGTCGACTGACAGCCAGGGCCTCATACTGGCAGGCCTTCACCACAGGCCTCCCCCGAAACTGTGAACCACTGAAGACCCTGCATGGAATTCTAGCCTCTGAGCAGCTGTTTTCTGCCTGTTTCTCAGCATACATGCTCTGTTTAGGTGTCAGAATCCCTTAAGGGAAAGTCTCCGTGGCTCCCTTTCTCCTGGGCTTGTGGACCCTCAAGTCCTGCCTTCCTTGGGAGTTACATTAGTTGGGGGTCTCCAGAGAGTCAGAGCTAGTCAGTATACATACATGTGTTTAAAGAGACTTAATTATAAGGAACTGACTAATTCAATTATGGAGGGTGCTGAGTCGAAGCTCTGCAGGGTGGGTTGCAAATGGGAGATGCGGGAGAGCTGATGGCACAGATGACGTCGGAGGCCAGCTGCCAGAGAAGTCCTCTTGCTTGCAGAGGTCAGTCTTTTGTTCTGTGCAGGCCTTCAACTGATTGGACGAGGCCCACCCACCCTGGGGAGGGCAATCTGCTTTATTTAAGGACCACTGATTAAAATGTTAAATTCAGCCCAAAACACCTTGCAGGGTGACACAAAACATAATCATTGCAGAAGAGTGAATGCTCATCTTGGGGTATTCAAAACAGGATTTTTCAAGAAGACATTGGGCTTGAAAGGCTTAGAGACACAGCAGGGGAGACTTCATGAACATCAAAGATCAAATGTGAGAGGCTGAGATAACAGATGCTTCTACTCTCGGGGAAACGGGCCCTGAGCAGAGCCTAGGAAAGGAAGGGA